GGCAACTATCAGTTTGTTCTCTGTGTTTATGGGTCTGTTTCTGCTTGTTGTTTGTTTGGTTTTTAGATTCTACATACAAGTGAAATCATATAGTATTTGTCTTTCTCCTCTTTTTTTTTTTTTTTGGTGATTGAGAATTTTATGTAGCGTTGTTTGGTTTTCTTTCTCTTCATTTTTTTGTGTATCTATTACAGGTTTTGGGTTTGTGATTAGCATGATATATCATGGCTTCTATATCACATCCTAAATATATAGCATTCTATATTGATGGTCATTTAAGTTTAAACACATTCTAAAAAGAACTTCTCTTGGGGCACCTGGGTGGCTTGGTTGGTTGAGCGTCTGACTCTTGATTTTGGCTCAGGTTGTGATCCCTGGGTGGTGAGATTGAGCCCCACATTGGGCCTTGTGTTGATTGTGGAGCCTGCTTAAGATTCTCTCTCTCTCTCTCTGTCTCTCTCTCTCTCTCTCTCTCTTTCTCTCTTTCCCTCTCCCTCTGCCCCTTTCCCCTCACTCAAGCTCTCTCTCTCTTTCTCTAAAATAAAAGAATAAAAAGAACTTTTTTAGTCCCTCCTCCTCACTATATGTATATATGTATGTATGTGTATATATATATATATATATATATATATACACACACACACACACATGTCTTTTGTCTGGGAAACGATTTCTCTGTTTCTATGTAAAAAAAAAAACATTTGTTTAATGTTTTATTTATTTTTGAGAGAGAGACAGAGACAGAGTATGAGCCGGGGAGGGGCAGAGAGGGAGACAGAGTCCCAAGGAGGCTCCAGGCTCCAAGCTTTCAGCATAGAGCCTGACACGGGGCTTGAACTCATGAACTATGAGATCATGACCTGCACTGAAGTCAGATGCTTAACCAACTGAGCCACCCAGGCGCCCCTATTTCTCTAATTCTAAATGATCACCTTTGCCGGGTAGGGTATTCTTGGTTGTAGGTTTTTTTCCTTTCAGCACTTTGAATATATCATGCCACTCCCTTCTGGCCTGCAAAATTTCCACTGAAAAAAAATCAGCTGATAGGGGTTTCCCCTTGTACATAACTTTGCTTCTCTTTTGCTGCTTTTAAAATTCTTTCTTTATGTTTAAACTTTGACATTTTATTTTATTTATTTTTTTAATGTTTGTTTTTGAGAGAGAAAGAGCATGAGCAGGGAAGGGGCAGAGAGAGAGGGAGACACAGAATCTGAAGCAGGCTCCAGGCTCTGAGCTGTCAGCACAGAGCCTGATGCGGGGCTCAGACTTATGAACTGTGAGATCATAACTTGAGCCAAAGCTGGATGCTCAACCGACTGAGCCACCCAGGTCCCCCCATAATCTTTGACATTTTATTTTAAATGTTTATTTTTGAGACAGAGACAGAGCGTGAACGGGGGAGGGTCAGAGAGAGGGAGACACAGAATCCGAAGCAGGCTCCAGGCTCTGAGCTGTCAGCAGAGAGCCTGACGCGGGGCTCGAACCCACAGACCCTGAGATCATGACCTGAGCTGAAGTCGGACACCTAACTGACTGAGCCACCCAGGCGCCCCTCTTTGACATTTTAATTATTATGTGTCTAGTGTGGATCTCCAAAGGTTCATCTTATTTTGGACTCTTTTTGCTTCCTGAACCTGGATGTCTATTTCCTTCCCTAGATTAAGGAAGTTTTCAGCTATTATTTATTCAAATAAATTTTCTGCCCCTTTCTCTCCTCTCCTTCTGAGACCCCCTATAATGCAAATGTTTATTCTCTTGATGTCATCCAACAGGTCCCTTAACCTACCTCATTTTAAAAATTCTTTCCTTTTTGCTGTTCAGCTTGGGTGCTTCCCATTATCCTACCCTTCAGATCACTGATCTTCTTCCGCATCCATTAATCTACTGTCGATTCCCTTTAGTGTGTATTTAATTTCAGTTATTGTATTTTTCAACTCTGATTTATTATTTTGTGTATTTTCTCTTTGTTGAAGTTCTCTTTGAGTTCCTCCATTTTTTCTCTCCAGTCTAGTGAGCATCTTTATAACCATTGCTTTATTTTTTTTAAAAGTTTTTATTTTAATTCCAGTTAGTTAACATGCAGTATAATATTAATTTCAGGTGTACAATATAGTGATTCAACATTTCTATACATTACTTGGTGCTCATCACTAGTGCCTTCCTTTAAAAAAAATTTTTTTTAATGTTTACTTTTGAGAGAGAGAGAGAGTGTGAGTGGGGAAGGGGCAGAGAGAGAGGGAGACACAGAATCTGAAGCAAGCTCCAGGCTCTGCGCTGTCAGCACAGAGCCTGATGTAGGGCTTGAACTTATGAACCATGAGATCATGACCTGAGCCGAAGTTAGACGCTTAACTAACTGAGCCACCCAGATGCCCCAACTAGTGTCTTCCTTAATCCCCATCCCCTCTTCCCCCCCCACCCCAACCTCCTCTCTGGTAACCACCATTTTGTTCTCTATAATTAAGAGTCTGCTTCTTGATATCTCCTTCTATTTTTTTCCTTTGCTTGTTTTGTTTCTTAAATTCCATATATGAGTGAAACCATATGGTATTTGTCTTTCTCAGACTTATTTCTCTTAGCATTATACTCTCTAGATCAATCCATGTCATTGCAAATAGCAAAATTCCATTCTTTTTATGGCTGAATAATATTCCATTTTATATATATATAAATAATATATATATATATAATATTCCTATATATATATATATATATATATATATACACACCACATCTTCTTTATCCATTTATCAATTGATGGACACTTGGGCTGCTTCCATATCTTGACTATGGTAAGTAATGCTGCTATAAACATAGGGGTCTGTGTATCCCTATGTCGATCATTAAACTCTAACAGGAATATTGATCATCTCCATTTAGTTCTTTTTCTGAGGTTTTATCTTATTCTTTCAATTAGAGCATATTCCTCTGTCTCCTCATTTTGCTTGACTTTCTGTGTTTGTTTCTATGAATTAGTGGAACAGCTACTTCTCCTAAACTTGAAGGAATGGTCTTAGGTATGGGTCATTGCTTGTGTAGACTCTATGTGCCTGGTGACTTTTGCTGGCTGGCTGGAGTTGTGGGTGACATGGGCTGGGGATTGCGAGGCACTCCCTGCTAGGTCTGCTCTGGTAGGATGGTAGATGGCCATTTCTTCAAAGACTGGGACTGCATCCCACAGCGAATTGTATATGAAATAAGTGCTTAATACTTTATAGATGGAACTGAGATTTTATTTTTTATTTTTTTTTTTAATTTTTTCAACATTTTTTCTTTATTTTTGGGACAGAGAGAGAGCATGAACGGGGGAGGGGCAGAGAGAGAGGGAGACACAGAATCGGAAACAGGCTCCAGGCTTTGAGCCATCAGCCCAGAGCCTGACGTGGGGCTCGAACTCACGGACCGCGAGATCGTGACCCGGCTGAAGTCGGAGGCTTAACTGACTGCGCCACCCAGGCGCCCCATAGATGGAACTGAGATTTTAATTGGGCCCTAAAACTTCAAATAAATTACACCTCAGTCTCTATTCACTAACCTACTTAATGAGCGTGTATTTGAGTACCTAAGTCCTTTGTTAGAAGCTGGGGAGATACATCTCTTGCTTACTCACTGTGAGGCTTAGCCCAGTCAGTGAGCCTGATCGGAGTTCAGTAAAGACCAGCAAACCCTTGTGCCTCCTTTCCTCTTGTCCAGAGACTAGTATGTGGGAGTAGGGGGCAGGAGGTGCCCACTCAGATAAAACTGTCCAAGAATGCCAATGTCTCCCAGGCCACCCACTATCCTGGGAATTTTGAGAACGTCTTTTGTTCCAGCCCCCCACGCAGGGAAGAATCTTAGCAGGCGATACCAAGGTGGGAGCCAAGCAGTGCTGTCTGAAGTAGTCTCATTCTCCCTCTCCACTGACCTTCCCAGAATCAAAGAGTCTTTATGGAGGATGGGGTTGGAGAAGAAGCAGTTTTGCTATTCGAAGGAATGTCCAGGGCCCTCTGAAGAAAGATGGAACACTAATCCTGTGTCTGGGACCAGTAAGGCTATACGTGGGGCTGGGACACTGGTCACTTTCCCTTTTTGGAGTCTCCATGTTGCTCCTCTTTCTGTGTGATTCTCTGAGTCAGTTTGTCCCAATCTCCACGTCTCTCTTTTGGCTTGAGCCTCACTCACCTGTCCTCTTCCATCAACCCAACAGCCTGACTGCCAGCCACCCTGGCTTCCTGGCTCCGTAGTTCCTGGCCTAGTGGCCTAAGCCCATCCTGCTCTGACAGTAGGGGTGAGAGGGGAGGAGATGATGGGGACAAGGGAAACCTCCTGGTGACACCTTCCTTTCCTTTCCCAGGCCTCAAGCCCTCAAGCGCATGCTAGGCCTCCCTTATTGGGGTCATCATGAACCAGAGGAGGCACATGGGAAGAAACAAGGAGGTCGAGGTAAAAACAGTAGAGAGGAGGGACAGAGGGTTGGGGGCAGAGGGGAGAGGGGCCCCCCCCCCCCCCCCCGACAAACTGGGGGCGCCCGAAAAAAAATGCTGGGGGGGGGGGGGGGGGGGGGGGGGCGGGGGGGCCCCCCCCCCCCCCCCCCCGAAGTGGAAGCCAGGTAGCCAAAGCCATTGGGGAGAAAGGAGGGAGGTTGAGTCGCGCGGTTCAGACAGTCCAGCCTAGCCGAGTCTCCGGGTTTCCCGTCGGTCTCTCCTTCCAGCTTCGCTTCCTTCCTCTCTTGTAAGATTTCTCCCAGGACCTCTCCGTGAGACCCCCTCCTCCGTACGAGTCTCGGCGATGGTCCGCTGGTTTCTCCATCTCGCGCCTGGCTTTGGTCTCTGGCTCAGCCTCCCGACCTGGCCCTCTCGGTGGGCGGTGCTCCTTACGCCCCGCCCCCAAGGAGGACTATTGGTGAAGAGGTGTCGAGAAGGCGGTGTCCAGCCAACTTCCGAGAGCCAGATTGGTTGCGGCGACCCAGAGGCGGGCGGGAGGCGGAGCCGGCCGGGAGGCGGGCGGGGCGGCTGGGGCCCGGCCCAAAGCCCCGGGCGGTCGCATTGTTTTCCTGCACGGAGCCGCGGCGGGAGTGGGGGCTGCGACTGGGACCCGCGGCTTGCCAGACCCGACAGCGGCCGGGAGCTCAGATCCGGGCTCCATCCCATTCGGACGCTCACCACATCTCGCCAGAGCCCCAATCACGGATTGCGAACTCGGCGTGGTGCGGGGCTGCTGCCCGCCCGCTGCGATCTCGGTCCCGCTGACCCGGATCTCGGAGCAAGTACCCCGGAGCTTGGGGAGATGGGGCTGCAGGGGAGGCCAGGAGGACGGGGGACGCCGCAGCTGGGGACAACGTTCCGAAGTGCGAGAGGGAACCGGGAGGGTGCCAGCGCGCTGTGTGCCTGGCTGGTGGAGAGGGTCAGCGGAGTTGGCGTGCTTGGAGGGAGGAGGGGACCGTGGCCGAGCCCCGTCAGTGCACTGTTGGGCGCAGCGTCTGGGCTCCTCTTCCCACCGGGCTTCTCTGAGTCGCGTCCCCTGGATTGGGGAGCGCGAAAGGGGATTATCTGAGGCGCGCACCGTGCAGAGGGTGGAAACCCTGGTGCCTTGACTCCCGGGCAGGGAAACTAAGGCTCCGAAACCCGCGGAGAACTGGACCTTCCTCTCGATGTCTCTGCAGGGATAGGAAGGGGGACGCGTCGTTCCGGACTTTGGTGTCACGGTTGCACCTCTGTCCTGGTGCAAGCGGGAGTCTGAGCACCTCTCAGGAGGTTGGCTGGGGCAGAGAGTCGGGGAAGGGGGCCCCCGAGAAACAACAGTCCCGCGCCCTTCTCCTTTCTTCACCCCACTCGCCCCGGGTTTTTGTTAGACCAGGGTCTCCCAAGGAGGAGAGCCTAGCTGGAGACTGAACCTTTAGCCCGCGGACCCCGCTCAGCGCCGGCCGCAGGCCTGCCCTCTTTGGTTCCCAGCCTCTGGCCCTGTTTCTCTGGCCTGGGAGACCCGCCTCCGCTCCCCAACCCCCGCTCTCATCCTCACTCTGCGCCTGCAGGCCCCTCCAGCCCCTCCTCCCGCTAACGTGGCTCTGGGACCCGGTCCCGGCCCAGACTCTGCTGCCCGCCCCTCTCGGAGCCCCAGATCCAGTGAGGGGGAGACACGTCGAGCCCCTGGCCCGGGGCCCATCTTATGCCAGGCTCTAAACACCTGGATTATCCTCGTTGGGGGTTGGGTGGAAGGGAGAGTAGGTGCGGAACCAGGGGCAGAGGGTGGGAGAAATGTCTTGGAGAAGGGAATGCGCCTTCAGCCTGTTTCTCGAGGATCCTCACCGCGCCCCCCACCCCCTCTACCTCCTGTCTGCTCCCCCAGAGGAAGGTGGACTGGGGCGGGAGACCAGCCTGAGAGCTTCCTGCTATTGTCCCCAGCCCGGTCTCCCCTTCTCCATCCCTTCCCCAGCCTCCCCCTCCACCCGCCTTGACTCTGGTTGTGACTCTGGCTATGACCCTGGCCACTCCCCAGAGGTGGCCGTAGGGCCAGGAGGAGAGAGAAGGGCTGTTTTCTCTCCCAGCAAAGAGAAGACCTAGGAGGGGAAGAAAGGTTTGGCCAGGCCTCCCCCATTTGCTTCAGATGGGGGGTATGATGCCTTTCCCCAGGCCCCGGGTGGGATGGGAACTGCTCAGATGCTGCTCCTCCAAAAACCAATGTGGGAAGCCTTCTTAAAGACATATCATACAAGTCTAGGGGGCCAATGCGAAGGCCAACCAAGTGTTTTCAGAGGCTGGACTAATCCAGTCCAAGGCAGGGGGTGGGGCGCAGAGACACTGGGCAGGAGGGAGGCAGGACCTGCTCTCTTAGGGAAGAAGGAAGGGGCTGGGGATGTTTGCTATCGGAGCATTTTGCCTAGAAATGAAGAGCATGTAAATGAGATGCAAATTAGCCTCTATTGTCCCCAGCTAGGGCGCTTTCTCGGTGAAGGCTGCTGGATTCTGAGGGTTTTAATGTGGGAGTGGTCGTCATGCCCCACAAACTCTCCCTGTCACCCTTTTCCCCAAGACTAGTCCTTCAGTTCCAGGAGTTTCCAGCTAGGGGCCAGCCCCTGCCCCTGCCCTCACATCTTTGGGTTTGAAGCGGCCGGCACCTCTGTAATCTAGCTCACTGTCAACACCCCGCCCCACGCCACCTCACAACACACCCACACCTTTCCAGGGCCGCACGTCCCTTTCCCTAGCTTCAGTAGACTTCTCCTAAATTTTCACATTTACTTCTAAGGGATGTGGTAAGGAGGTCTAGCTAAGCCTCTTCCCTCCTGTCCCTTCTTCCATCAGGTCACAGGTTTCCTATCCCCCTCAAACCCCCACAGGAGTCACGACCCCAGGTGAGGAAAGGGCAGCAGCTCCTGAAGGCAGGGGATGGAAACTGGCCTGGTCTGGGAGCAGGAAGAGGGGTCTGGCTGTTCTCCCCACTTGCCAGAGGCCAAAGTTGTTTCCTGGGTGAAGATACCAGTTGCCCAGGGCAACTTGGAGGGGGGGGGGAGCCGGAGGGGGAGGATAGGAGACAGGCTGGGTCCCTTTCTCTTCCCCTGGGAGCACCAGCATCCGGGGATGGGGGTGGGGTGGTTAGGGAGGCTTGGCCTTTCAGCACCAGAGGGTCGTTAGCTAGCTGACTGCTCTGCCCCTGGGGAGGGGGTCATCATTAGATGTTCCTACCCCTTCCCCTCCTCCAGCCCTCTTGGGACCCCATCTGACGTCAACCTCCCCACCAGTGACGCTGGACTGGGGGTGGGGTACACTTGGGTCCTGGCTCCAAGAGTGGATTTGGGGAGATGGAATGGGCTGGGCTTGGAAACCCAGGGTCTGTTCTTTAAGGGGACATGGTGGGATGAACAACTAAGGATTGGTGAAGGATAGCTGTCTATTCACAGAAAGGAAGGATTCTCACCCGACCTGGTTTCAGGAGCCACTCAGCCCCTCGCTTCAGTTTGAGGGGAGGGAGGGCAGGAAGCTGGAGTACACCTCCCACTGCGGGGCCCAACCGGGGTCAGCTGGGGTGGGGTTGGCGGTGCCTGATGAGTGGGAAGGGCAGTCTTACCACGCTTTCACCATATCCATTTTTCCTGGACTTTGGGCTACCGTTGCCTGTGCCTGTCGTTGAATTATTTATATTTCCATTTTGAGGCAGCCTGAAGAGGGAAGGAAGGGAAAGAGGGACATACGTGTTGAGCCATTTCTCATCACCAGTATAGCCAGTTGCATCCCTGGCTCCTCATAGGCGTCTGCTCCTCCTCATCAAGTACTTGCACTGGTTCTTGGGAGCCAGGGAGGGAGCAGGGGGTTGGAGAGGCTGGGAGGGGGCACAGTGGTCGGGCAGACAGCTGCAGCCAGAGCTAAGTTTAGCCTCTGATCTGGCTCTGATGCAGATGCATTTTTGGCTAAGGCAGCCCCCCCACCCCACCCCGTACCCCTCCCTACCCAGCTTCTCCCTAGCAAAGAGCCCTTGAGGCATGAACTTAGACTAAGACAACGACCCCTAGGCTTCCTGCCCCCACTCTGTCCTTCCCCAACCCTAGAGAGGGGATGGCTTCCTCGCAGCTGCCTCTTCCCCGGGCACAGCGCCTGAATGGCTCCCAGGGTGCCGTCTGGGTCTGTGAGGGAGGGTGAGGCAGACACGGTGCCCTCTTCCTCCCTCCAGTGCCAAGGAGTCACTATTTATAATTTTAAGGCTTCAGTGTCTAATTATAACTGAGAAGGGGTTAGTAAGAGGGGGGCCGGGAGGTGTCACCTACCGAATGTCCCAGGCCCACTCAGAAGAAAGGAGAAGAGGCCGTGTGAGGTTTGGAAGGGGAACGGGCGTGTCCTGTCCTTACCTGGGGTCATGCCTGCAGGTCTCACGCCAGCCAGTTTGGGCCAGTTGGAGAGAGAAAGGCCTGGAGTGACAGTGACAGCTGGCTGGGACCGAGGCAGTGCCAGAGAAAGGGTTGATTCCCCCGGCCCACAGGGTCCTCTAGGGTCAGACCAGGGGAGGAGCCCGCCTGGGCCAGGGGGGAAGGGATCTGGCCCCTTCCCCCACTTTTATCTGTCTCCTCTTTCAGGGCCGGCATATGGGTGAGGGGGCACCCCCTGGGGCCTGAGCTGCCCCGCACAGGATGCCCCGTGCCCCCCGCTTCATGCCCTTGCTGCTCCTGCTGCTCTCACTTCCCCATACCCAGGCTGCCGTCCCCCAGGACCCCCTCCCTCTGCTGACCTCTGACCTGCAAGGTGAGTGCCCTGGCCCGACACCCCGCTGGGTGAGCTCTTCACTCCAGACCCCTGTGTAGGAGGCCAGGGTACAGGAAGACACCCAGCAGGGGAAGCAGACAGGTAGAGGGAACGGGGCGCTGCTGGCCCTGCTTCCTTCACTTGGAGGCAGTGCGGTCATTTGGTGGTTAAGAGCACGGACTCTCAGCCAGACCAAACCTTAGCAGGTTTGGATCCCTGCCCGGCGACTCATTAGCCTCACAACCTTGGTTAGATTGTTTAACCTTCCTTTGCCTCAGTCTCCTCATCTGCAAAATGAAGAGAGCAAATAGCATTCTGCCTCAGAGTTATGTAGAGATTAAATGAGGCGCCAAGAACACGGTCTGGCACATGGTAAGTGCTGCCTGTGTGTTTGCTATTACTGTTAGGTATGCCACAAAGGTTCAGGGCTGGTTCAGTGGTTCCCCACACCTCTTCCCCCATCTCCACCATTTGCACCACAACTAAGCCTAGGTCCCACTGTGAGGGAAACCATACACCCACTTTTTTCTGAGAAGAACCTTGATCTATTTGCAGGTTCCTGTTATGGATGTAGAATTTAGAGTAATTTTAAGGACCAAGGGACTGCAGTTGGGTCCCTGGGAGTAAGTGTTGGGGGATAAGAATAGCAAACACTTGCATGTGCCAGATGCGGTTCTGAGCACCATATAAACATTAAAGCATCTATGTCTGAACTCTGAGCTGCCTCTGGGCGCTGATGATCATGGTTGCCATGGTCAGGCCAGCAGACACGGAGGGTGGTCAACGGAGACAGTGACCTGGGACGGCTGAGGTGGCTTCTGAAGAGCCTTGAGGGGATGATACCAAAAGCTGGGAGAAATGGAGTAAGTGCTCCAGACAGGACAGTGTATGGCACGGGAACGAGAGGGGAGCGCTAGCCAGCCCTACAGCCCTTCCAAGAAGGAACTGTGTTCAGCTCTGGAGTAGGACAGACCTGGATCTGAATCCCAGTGCCTTCCACTTCCCAGCTAAATAAACTAGGCAAATTCCTTAATGGCTTTAAGCCTCAGACTCCTCATCTGTAAAGTGGGGCCAATATTAGTATAGTAAAACCTTGCGGCAAGATAAGCAAACATTATTTTTAATTTTAATTAAAAAAATGTTTATCTTTAGAGAGATGGAGAGACGGAGCGCGAGCAGGGGAGGGGCAGAGAAAGAGGGAGACACAGAATCCAAAGCAGGCTCCAGGCTCTGAGCTGTCAGCACAAAGACAGATGTGGGGCCTGAACTCACAAACCGTGGGGGATCATAACCTGAGCCAAAGTTGGATGCCTAACCGACTGAGCCACCCAGGTGCCCCTCTAATAAATTTTAACTTGATGAATGAGCGATGTCTTGTGATACAAATAGTATGTGATACTGAATATCACTTGATCACAACTGAGCCAATGGTTCTTGAAATTCACTTTAATATACGAGTGCTTTGGATTACAAGCATCATTCCAGAATGAATTATGCTTGCAAACCAAGTTTTACTGTATTTCCCTTATAGGGTTGTATTAAACAAGGCATCTAAAATGCTAACATGGTGGTTGGCCGAGGTTAAGTGCTCAGGGCTAGCATTATTTTATTAATAGCTGTATTAATAGTTTTTTTAATACCTCACAACTTGTCTTCCTCATCCACAATGTCCATGGCTGGATTTCATCTGGCTGGAAAGGGTATTGGGGGAGTGCATGGTGTCCTGGCTCAGCCTCAGCACCCACCTCTCTGTGTCTTCTAGGGACTTCCCCATTATCCTGGTTCCGGGGCCTGGAGGATGATGCTGTGGTTGCCGAACTTGGGCTGGACTTTCAGAGATTCCTAACCTTGAACCGGACCTTGCTAGTGGCTGCCCGGTAAACTGGCCGTGGCACTGTTGTGGGGCCGACATGCATGCTCCTGGGCAGACATGGGACCTGCATGGCCACTGCAGCACCTTGCAGGGGACACATGCAGGTGTACAAGCCATGGGACGTGGACATGCTTGGACCCAGAGCGCAAATGCCGAGGCATGGAGTAAGGGGGGGATAGCAGGAGGTCTGCGATGTTTGTCTCTGACCACTGAGCCTGAGCAGGGTGGCAGTAAGGAGCTCAGGTGGGGTGCCTTCGTTTGGCTCTGATCCCTCCTCACCTCTCCCTGCAGGGATCACGTTTTCTCCTTCGATCTTCAAGCCCAGGAGGCAGGGGAGGGGCTGGTGCCCAACAAGGTAAGAGGCATGTGGCAGGAGGTGCAGGCATGGAGATGAGGCCTGGAAAGGTCTGCTGGGGGTCCAGCGGGTGGGAAAAAGAATCTAAAAGGAGCCGTCATGTGAGGGGGCATCCAGCTTGCCCCATGATGTTCCCTCCCTTCTGTCTCTCCCTTCAGTATCTAACATGGCGGAGCCAAGACATGGAGAACTGTGTTGTGCGGGGAAAGCTGACGGTGAGGAGCGTGAGGAGCGGGGTGACAATTTCGAGGGGAGAATTTCCCGCCTCTCCAGGCTCTGTCCAGGACCACAGTGGTCCTCTGCTGTGCCCAGTTTTCCCGCCGACTTGCATCTGGGGTGGGGTGGGGGGGATGCAGGAAAGGGGATGAATAGTTTTTGCCTTCCTTCACAGAAGAGCTAGGCTCTAGCAGGCCAAAGAATCTGTCTGAGGTTGCAGGGTAGCAAATAGCTTGGCTGGGACTTTACCCCACATTGCTCTGACCGTCTCAGGGGAGGTGGCCTTACTTCCTGTGGCCCCCTGTCCCAGTCCTAGGGAGCCCTGTCGCTGACCTGGAATTTTGGCTTCTCTAGGACGAGTGCCACAACTATATTCGTGTTCTTGTTCCCTGGGACTCCCAGACACTCCTTGCCTGTGGAACGAACTCATTCAGCCCCGTGTGCCGCAGCTATGGGGTACAACGGCGGAGGGAGGGGGTGTGGGGCAGGGAAGGGGTCATGATGGGAGTGGGAAGAGAACCCAAGGTGGGCAACCAGCGAGGGTAGGGGAACCGGAGTGTCCAGAATGCAAGGGTCCTGAAGGGGTTGGGGAGAGAGGCAAGGGGACGCGGGGAGGTGGGTGATGGAGCCAGACTCCGAGACCCTGATGGTTCCAAGAATCTGTTCCCTCTCCCTCCAGATAACTTCGCTGGAGCAGGAGGGTGAAGAGCTGAGTGGGCAGGCTCGATGCCCCTTTGATGCCACCCAGTCCAACGTGGCCATCTTTGCAGGTGTGCACCTGGGCACGTGAGAAGCGGGCCTGTGGCCGGAGGGGGCTACCACCTCAGCCCTTCTCCCAATTTGGTCTCTCCCTATGCTCCTGAGTGGAAGGTTGAGGTAGGGGGCAGGGCCAGGGTGAGTGAGGTAGGGGTGTAGGAGGCCCAAGAAGCGCCAGATCCCTGGGCCCTCCCCTGACTCCCCCCTACCCGCCCCTCCAGAGGGCAGCCTATACTCAGCCACAGCTGCGGATTTCCAGGCCAGTGATGCTGTGGTTTACAGAAGCCTTGGGCCTCAGCCCCCACTCCGCTCCGCCAAGTACGACTCCAAGTGGCTCAGAGGTCAGGGAGGGCCTGGGGGAGGGAGGCTGCTCTTGGGGAGGAGGTGCAGGGGGAGGTGCAGGGAGCAGGCAGAGGGTGGTGGTATTGGTACTGTGCCTGTGTGAAAGGCAGAAGGCTGTGTGGGGCCTGGAGTCTCTGAGCATGCTGTTTCCTGTCTCCGCCCCCTCAGAGCCACACTTCGTCCACGCCTTGGAGCACGGAGACCATGTCTACTTCTTCTTCCGAGAGGTCTCTGTGGAGGATGCTCGGCTGGGAAGGGTAAGGAGGTGGGCACCAGGGGTGGGTAGCTAGAGAGTTCTGCTGGATCCTGAGGAGCCAGTCAAGAGTCAGTGAAGAGCTCCTGGCCCTAATCTCCACCATATAGTCCCTTGGACTCTGAGCCCCAACTTGGAGTAGCCCCCAGCCCTCTGCCCCCACATCCTGCTGTGTCCCTCATCCTTGACCCCAACCGATCTACCACGCTATACCCTTCCTTTGCTGTGCCCCTAACATTGGTCTCTCGGTCCTCCAACACTCCAGATTCGTGTCCCCGCCACTGGCCCTGGGGCCCTCCCTGTTCTCCTAGTCCTGGCTCTCCCCCCCCCACCCAGGTGCAATTCTCCAGGGTGGCCCGAGTATGTAAACGTGACATGGGCGGCTCACCTCGGGCCTTGGACCGCCACTGGACATCCTTCCTGAAGCTGCGGCTCAACTGCTCTGTTCCTGGAGATTCTACCTTCTATTTTGACGTCTTACAGGCCTTAACTGGGCCTGTGAACTTGTATGGCCGCTCTGCTCTCTTTGGGGTCTTCACCACGCAGACCAATAGGTTAGTAGTAGACTAACCGACATGGCCCAATCTGTCCCTTGTCCCACCAGCATCTGAGCCCCCCTCCCACAGCCTGCTGATGCCTTACATTGAGGGGAGACTCCATTCAAGGCCAGTTTACTATTCTGTTCATTTTTTTTTCTCCCAGCATGGCCCCCAGAGACTGTCTCACCCTCTCAGGCTCCACGTCCTAATATGGTGCATAAGGGCAGCTGCCGTGTCTCACCTGGGAGGGGCTGTGCTATCCCTCCCAACCCCCAGCCCACATCCTTTTCTGGCTCCTTCAGCATCCCTGGCTCTGCAGTCTGTGCCTTCTACCTGGATGATATCGAGCATGCATTTGAGGGCAAGTTCAAGGAGCAGAGGAGTCTGGATGGGGCCTGGACACCCGTATCTGAAGACAGGGTTCCCTCCCCCCAGGTACCCAGGATGGGGGTGGCTTTTGTCGGGGCAGAAGCAAGCAGTGTGTTCCCACATGGGATTATGAAGAGAGGGTCTATGGGATTAGGGGGAGGGGGCTCAGTGGGTTGGCATGGGACTGGAGAGCTGTGGAGAAAAGGAAGGCTGTAGTTGAATGTCTGTGTGAAGGGGTAGAGCAAAGGTTACCAATCATGTTTGGGAGCAGCTGGGGGGGGTGGGGTACTTAACTAAATCCTGGGTCCCCGTCCTAACATGGCTCCTTTCCATGTGCCTACCAGGCCAGGGTCCTGGGCCGGTGTAGGTGTGGCTGCCTTGTTCCCCTCTTCCAGAGATCTCCCTGACGACGTCCTGACCTTTATCAAGGCTCACCCACTGCTGGACCCGGCCGTGCCACCTGCTACCCATCAGCCTCTGCTCACCCTCACCAGCAGGTATGTGGCTAGACAAATGACAGCTACTGCCCAACTCCCCCCCCCCCCCGCCCCCGCCACTCTCTGTCTCCGACCTCACAAGCTAAATCATATTGGTGGGAAGAAGAACCCATGAAAGTGGAAGGGAGAGTGAGAAGAAGAAAAAGTCTGGGCGGGAGGAAGCACCCGGAAGTGGGCACCAGGATACATGGGCCGTCTGCCACTAGTCAGCTTGCCCTGACACAAGGCCTATCCCTCCAGGGCTCTACTGACCCAGTTAGCTGTGGATGGTAGGGCTGGTCCCTACGGTAACACCACAGTCCTGTTCCTGGGCTCCGAAGATGGGACAGTGCTGAAGGTACTGCCCCCAGGGGGGCCATCAGGGGGCCCTGAGCCCATCCTGTTGGAAGAAATCAATGCCTACAGCCCTGCCAGGTGAGGCCTTCCTCTGGCAGTCCCTCCCACCCCCCCACCCCCCTTGCAGAGCAGGAATGGGAAGTGAGGTGGTGGATGGAGATGTGGGGCGATAGGGTGGGAACTCCCCAGAAGCTATAGGGTATAGGGATTTGGCAAGAAGCTGGGTGGTTTGGTGGGGCAGTCCTATGAGTTGTGTTCAGGGCTTGTGCACCTCCCCACCTTCTGTTCTTTAACACCCCCCCCCCCCCCCGGAGACAGGAGCCTCACCTGCGCCATCTCTGATTCCTTCTGGCTCCATCCTAGGTGCAGTGGGAAGCGGGCGGCCCAAACGGCACGGCGGGTCATAGGGCTGGAGCTGGACACTGAAGGTCACAGGCTCTTTGTGGCTTTTTCTGGCTGCATCATCTACCTCCCTCTCAGTCGGTGTGCCCGGCACGGGGCCTGTCAGAGGTGAGAAGAGGCTGAGGGCAGGCCTGCCTGGGGAGGTTCCTTGAGCCAGAAGGAGCATGGGGACACAGGCATGGGGGGTGGCAGAGAAATGCAGGGGAGGGTCAGGAGGGAGGGTTGCCTGGAGCATTCTGTAGGTATGCAGCAACCAGGGACTAGAACAGGAATCAGGGTAGGCAGGATGGGATCTGGGGCTGGGGCATGGGCTGTGATTAGAGGGGAGAGCCTCAGATGTCTCCGTCTCCCCCAGGAGCTGTCTGGCTTCTCAGGACCCATACTGTGGATGGCACAGCTCCAGAGGCTGTGTGGATATCAGGGGACCCGGTGGGTAAGTGAGGGGCCCCTGGACCTCCTGAGGAGAAAGCTCCCCACTACTAGGAGAGGGAGCTGAGGGCCGGGGCAGGGGCTGGGGGGCAAGATGGATAACTGAACTGAGACACCCCCATCCACCTCATATCCTTCTAGGACTGATGTGGATCCGGCTGGGAACCAGGAATCCACGGAGCATAGTGACTGCCAAGGTAAATGGCCGGGGCAGTGGTTGCTGTAGCCACAGCTACACATGGCTCTGAAGGCCCTCAGCGACCATCCCGGGTGTGGGTTTCTGTCCTTCTGTAGCACAGTCACCCCTTTCAGTTCTTCTAGAAGCTTCCCTGCCCCTGTCTTCACTCTCCGTCTTCCTTATTCATAGATGGAGCTACTGGGAGTCAGTCTGGTACAGGGGATTCCGCTTATGGTGAGTCTGGCTATTCCAACTTCATCCCCCCTTGCCCGGCCCACACTCACCCAAGTCTGTGCTCCCTGGCAGCAGCAGACCAGCACCCCGGACCCACTGAGAGAGTCTCAAGGGTTAGCATCCTCCACACACCTGGCATATAGCTCAGTGCTTGGCATACAGTAGGGTGCTTAAATAAATAGTGTTTGAAAAAACTACATGAAAGAATGCCTGCATGGTGAGCCCTTCCCCATGCCCAGAAGAAAGGAGAGGCTGGAGTTCTGGACTTTGGGGTTCCAAAGGGGGTGGGTGGGGGTGGGGAGGACCCTCTGAATGGGTGTCAGAGGTGGAAAACAGGAGCCTCACTGGCTCTGACCTGGTCTCTGTCACCAGTGCTTCTGGGTCCTGGCCCTTCCCCTGAGACCCCCAGCCCCCTCAGTGATGCCCACCCCCGGCCCCAGTCTTCCACTATTGGAGCTCACACTCAGGGTAAGGGGGCTGGTTGGGAGGGACAGGAGTGAAGTGTGGGGCTGCTGATTCTTGAAGAACTCCAAGCCCCTCACTGACACGTTTGATGCTCACTAATGCCTGTCTGGTGCCCCCTCTCCCCAGAGCTGGGCATCTCCTACCCACCTCCTTCTGCACTGGCAGAGTTTGGCACCTGCTCTTGGCATGGCTCCAGGGGCCAGAGCTGGGTTGGGGACTCCCCAAGGCCCAAGCTCTAGCCTGTGTGTGAGGGCTGGTGTGATGGGCTGTGCGTTGAGGGGTCAAGGGAGGTCATTCTGAGGAGGGTCAGGCTGTGCTGGAGCGGAGGAGGCGAGCAGCAGCGGGAGCGAGGTGCAGCGCCCTCCCACACCCCCCTACCTCGGCTGAGCCTCCCTCCTCCCTCTCGGTCAGCAGGCGTGCGCCGGGACCTCCCCCCAGCCTCAGCCTCCCTCTCCGTCCCCATCCCACTCCTCCTGGCCTGTGCTGCCGCAGCCTTCGCTCTGGGCGCCTCAGTCTCTGGCCTCCTGGTCTCCTGCGCGTGCCGCCGAGCCCACCGACGTCGGAGCAAGGACGTCGAGACTCCGGGGCTCCCGCGCCCTCTCTCCCTTCGCAGCTTGGCCCGGCTGCACGGTGCGGGCCCGGAGCCGCCGCAGTCCAAGGACGGAGACGGGGCGCAGCCGCCCCAGCTCTACACCACCTTCCTGCCTCCCTCCGAGGGCGTGGCCCCGCCGGAGCTGGCCTGCCTGCCCACGCCGGAGTCCACGCCCGAGCTGCCGGCCAAGCACCTCCGCCACGCCGGGGGCCCCTGGGAGTGGAACCAGAACGGGAACAATGCCAAGGAGGGCCAGGGCCGCGTGCGGGGCGGGAACGCGGCGGGCGGCCCCGCGCCCCGCGTGCTGGTGAGGCCGCCGCCGCCCGGCTGTCCCGGGCAGGCGGTGGAGGTCACCACCCTGGAAGAACTGCTGCGCTACCTCCACGGTCCGCAGCCACCCAGGAAGGGGGCCGAGCCCCTGGCCGCGGCCGCGTTTACCTCGCGGGCGCTCCCGCCGGAACCCAGCCCCACCCCCACCCTGTTCGCGGGCCCCAGCCTCCTGCCCCGGGAGTGTGGCCCGCCGTTGAGGCTGGACGTGCCCCCCGAGGGCAAGTGCGCGGCCCCCTCCACGCGGCCCGCCCTCTCCGCCCCCGCTCCCCGGCTAGGGGTCGGGGGCGGCCGCAGAACGCCCTTCCCCACGCATCGTGCCCCCCCCGGCCCTGCTCACTCGGGTCCCCTCGGGGGGCCCCTCCAGGTACTGTGGGGGGCCCGGGAGACATCTTCTGTACCTGGGCCGGCCGGAGGGCTATCGGGGCCGCGCCCTAAAGAGGGTGGACGTCGAGAAGCCGCAGCTGCCCCAGAAGCCGCCCCTCGTCGCGCCCTCCCCCCCGCCGGCCATCCCCAACGGCAGCCATTTTCACTTTTAAAGGGAGCTGCGCTGCGTCCTCCAGTTGGGCCCCTGAGGCCCGCGCCTTCCAAGGCCAAGAGCATGGACGCGTCTCCAAGGACAGAACCCCTCCCTCTCTCCGCGTTCCACACCTCCAGCCTTTCTGGACTCTGAGAGTCTCCTGGGGTCTCAGCCCGCCTCGGGTTTATTTATTGACTGTCTTTCCCCCTGTCCTCGAGAGAGGAGTGGGAGGTGAGAAGAAGCTCGCCCCCTCAGTGAGCCAGCTTTTCGCGGGGAACTGGCGCACTCCTACTTCCCCCTCCCTCAGCCAAGCTGCCTTAACTCGCCCCTTCGGACTTCCTCCATAGACTGTGCCGCGGGCGGGCCGCAGGACGGATGGACGGACCGACGGGGCTGGGGCCGCGCGCGCGCTGTGTACGGAGTCCTCGGGCCTCCCGGGACGTGCCTCCTCCTACTGTGTAGGAGCCTCCGCTTCCCAATACAGCTTTTTGTCCCCGAGTCGTGCCTGACTTTCCTAGCGGAGGGGGCGGGGCGGGAACCGGTCCGCTCGCTAGGCGCCTCTGCCCCCGAATCTCTGCCTTTATCTTGGCCTCGCACTCTCCCGAGTAATTGGGATGGCTGCGGTCCCACCGGGGTTAATCAGGAAAGGTTTCCTGAAGGAGGCAAGCAAAGAAATGGTGTGTGGCGATGAGCCGGGGCCCAGGAGACCCACGGCCAAGCTTAGGTGGGGTGGGGAGTGCACCGGAGCACGTTCCTGGATCGAGGACGTTTTCCTAGCTTGTTCCATGGGGTGGGGGAGGGTACTTTTTGAGAAATAAAATGAAGCTGCAGCGCAAGTGATTTACGTTTCACAACAGGAAATCTTGTCCTAAAGAATTTGGAGTCTGGGTCGCATGACCGGGAGGCTGCACAGAAGAGCAAAGGAGTCCGCGCTGTCGGAGGCAGGGGCTACCCTTGGCAGTTCCCTAAGGAGCAGTTAGTTTCCCTTCGCAGAGCGGGAGGGAGTATCCAGAGCGTCTGTTCCCTTTTGCACGCATGCGTAGCCTCCTCTCGCGGAGGAGTGTCCGGCTGCACACCGTGTGCCGACGAGGTTCAGGAGCGGGTGCCCGTTCGGTCGTTCATCTAGCTGGGGCTGGCTGAAGATACCTGTCTGTTACCCCGCGGGCCAATGGGAGGGGCTGACAGGACCGTCTGTCCCGCCCACTACCTCGAGTCTAAGGTCTCTTAAAGCCTCTCGGGGGCCGTGGCCGCTTTTGCGGATTTACAAGTCCGGGGTTTTGCCGGCTCGTGGCCCGAGTATCCGCCCAGTTGGAGCCCTAGGCCGCCGTCCCACTGGCGCCGCCTGGAGGCCGGCCCAGACCCTGCCGCTAAGGAAGCCTTGGCAGTCCATTGCCCTGTTTGCCGCGGAAGGGCCTTTGATGGGAAACCGCTGAGAACAATTTGGTGAAGAACGGAGATTGTTTCTTGCTCCTCCCTTGACTACCTGTAATCCTGACAAGTCACAACTTTGCCCCAAACCTCAGTTTCCTCATCTGAAAAATGGGGTTGTTTGAGAGGCTCAAGTAATGATAATGTATGTAAAAATACTTTCAAAGGAGAAAACACGGTACCTTTTGAGATGGTGATTCTTCCAAACTCATGCTTAGGCGTCCCAACTTTGCGATCTTCTAAGCAATCGGTTTCCCTTTATATCCTCACAGTTTTTTGAAAATTACCCTCTGAACTTTCCTCACACCTTGTTCTGCCATATTTGTTCTCTGCAGTCTACCCTCTGCTTGGAGCTTGTTCTCCCAGGTTGGAGAGGTCCTTTAGGTCTTAGTTTAACCCTCTTTGGATGCCTTACATAAACCAAGATGTTTGAAAACCGTTGCTAGTTTCCTAGATGGTGAAGGAGAGCAAGGGAGGACCGGAGAATCTTTCCAAACACGACTTCACTATCCTCTTCAAACCAAGGTGTTAAAGCCAGGACAAAGAAAAATGTTAGGGCTGCATCCTTTCTCAGCCTTCTGTTCTGAGGGACAAGGCTCAAAATACTTCAGTGCTTGCTCTGAAGGTGGTCACAAGAAAGGGGTAAATGTTCCTCAAGTTTAAATATAGACTCAAAAGAGAGGTGCAAGAGAAGTTAATCCTGTGACTCTGTGCAGGCAGCAGCAATTTACAGGTTAAAGTCCTTGTTTCATTTTAATCATGAAGGGTGTTCATTTATTAACATTTACAAAATATGACGGCTTCTCTAGCCTAAAGAGTGGACTAAACTGGATCCTCAGAACCTTCTCAGGGCTAGCAAAAGCAACTATGTTGCACTGAGAACGAAAGTCTTGGACTCTGCCACTTTAATAGTTTTGTGTGTGACTTTGGCAATTCGATTAACCTCTCTGAGCCTCAATTTCTTTTGTAAAGGATGTATGGCAACAGGGAGGTTATAATAAAGCACCATATAAATACATAGGTTTAAATTAAGTGCTTTGTGGGAAAAGCCCCAAATAGATTACTATCAAGTATGCAATTCGTTAATACTCATGAAATACCTCACCCTGGCAAAGAGTAGTGAATAAACTAAGGGAATGAATTCAAACAACTTATTGACACTGACAACAGAGGGATAAACATGACCTCTTAATTTAAGGATACTTAAAGATAATGTTGATACACTTTTTTTTTTTTTTAACTAAGATATTAGTTTGGGATGCCTGGGTGGCTCAGTCTGTTGAGCATCTGACTTTTTTTTTTTTTTAATAAGTTTTTTTAAAGTTTATATTTGAGAGAGACAGTGTGTGAGCAGGGGAGGGGCAAAGACATGGAAACAGAATCCAAAGCAGGCTTCAGGCTCTGAGCTGTCAGCACAGAATCCATCACAGCGCCTGAACTCACAAGCCATGAGACCATGACCTGAGCCGAAGTTGGACGCTTAACCAACTGAGCCACCCAGGTGCCCTGAGCATCTGACTCGGGTCATGATCTCTCTGTTCATGGGTTCGAGCCCTGGATCAGGTTCTACTGGCAGTGTAGAGCCTGCTTGGGATTCTCTCTCTCAAAAATACATACATACATACATACATAAATAAACAAACAAACAGACTTTTAAAAATAAAATTAGGGGGGCACCTGGGTGGCCCAGTCAGTTAAGTGTCCCACTTCGGCTCAGGCCATGATCTCATGGTTCAGTTCATGACTTTGAGCCCCCAGTGGGGCTCTCTGCTGTCAGTGAGGAGCTGCTTGGGATCCTCTGTCTTCCTGTCTCTCTGCCCCTCCCCCACTCATATTCTTTCTCCCTCTCTCTCAAAACTAAATAAACACTAAAAAATTAGAATTAAAAAAAACAAAATTAGGATACTAGTTCAAACTTTGTCTTTAGAAAAAAGCCAGTATGTGCCAGCAAGAGGATACAGTTGTCCCCCTGAGGGATTTCTACGCTGATTTCTCAGAGGCATCCTGGGAGGTTATGGAGAAACCAGGGCCCCAGTGGGCAGAGTGCATCAGCTTGTGTAAGACTTTGGGGATCTGAAACACAGAAGGTTCTATAGTCACAAAGCTTGAAAAGCTGTTCAACATCTTGGGTACTTTGGGAACTAAGTCACAGGGGCCTGAGCTATTATTGTCTCTCAGATTTGTATCTCCTTGATGGCACTACCCCACACTTGGGAACCATACAGGTATGAGTCACTTTCTGCTACTTAATCCAGCAGACCCTTCAGAACGGTTAACTCATAAGAATTTAAGGTTATATCCATGAGTTAGGTTGAAGTTCACGGATAAAATATGAAGCCTATGAATCCAAGGTTGCCTACCTCTACCACATATATTAAGGTCCCAACAGGAAATAAGACAACATACTCAAAATAACAAAGGACTGATTTTAAAGTGAGGGCAAGGGATAGGTCAGTAACTGAGGGTAGTAACAGCCTTGGGCCTGAAAGGATAAAGGGAGATAGTGGTTATTCGGAACTGGCAGGAGAGACTGCATTGAGAGGAGCGATGACCTTTAACCAAAGGGTACAGCTAGGCCCAGGGGACCCCAATGAATGGAACCTGGGCAATCCATATACCGATCCAAGTTTTTTCTCTCCCTCTGATCTCCTGCCAGAGCAGGAATCCAAGTGGAATCCAAAGTGCAGGGAGCCCACTGATGAAATGCATGCAGGATAGCCTCCCAGGATAGAGAAAAAGATATAGAGGGAGTAGTAGTCTAGAAGGAAAGATAGAAGCTATCCAGCATCCTAGAGCTGAAGACCCCACCCAGTCTTCACAAGCGAGGTTACCTTTGACGCTCCTTGTTCAAGTATTGCTGGCCAGCAACTTTGTGGAGATGCCTCCAGAATTGGTTCTGGAGCAAACCTGACTTTGAGTTTGCAAAAAAGGCTGAAGTTATGTCACCCCTGTTTCTTAACTATATGCCCAAAGTTAAGTGAGCAAGATCATATTCTGATTCAAGGACGAATTACACAGGAAAGAACACCGATAACAATGTAGGAACTGTAGTTTTATTATTTTTTTTAATCAGAGAGCAGGAGTGTGGGAAGGGGCAGAGGGAGAGAGAGAAAGAATCTCAAGTATGCTCCACGCTCAGCGCAGAGCTTGACGCAGGGCTTGATCCCACAACCATGGGATCATGACCTGAGCCAAAATTAAGAGTCAGACGCCCAAACCGATGGAGCCACCCAGGTGCCCCAGAACTGTAGTTTTAGAAAGTATATATATTTTTAAAGTTGAGGGACTCTGAGGGACTCTGGGCAGTCACAACTTTTTTTTTTTTAATCTATATTCTGAAGATAATACATATCTTGCAAGATAGGTGTGTTTGTGTGCATGTGAAATGTCTAGCTCAATGGCAGACACGTAGCAAATCGTTAATGCATAGAGGGGCACCTGGTTGGCTCAGTCAGTAGAGCATGCAACTTAAATTTTTTTTAACGTTTGTTTATTTTTGACAGGAAGACAGCATGAGTGGGGGAGGGGCAGAGAGAGAGGGAGACAAAGGATCCAAAGTAGGCTCCAGGCTCGGAGCTGTCAGCACAGAGCCTGATGTGGGGCTCGAACTCATAGAGTGTGAGATCATGACTTGAGCTGAAGTCAGACGTTTAACCGACTGAGCCACCCAGGCGCCTCAAGCATGTGACTCTTGACATTGGGTTG